TGAAGGGTGACTCCTAGTGTGAGAGGCTGGACTGTTGTTAAGGGGGGCTCCTGATTTGAAGGGGTAATCTGATGTGAAGATGGAATCACAATTTTTGTGTTTTTGCATGGGGCCCACCTTAAAATCATTTTAGACTGGGGTGCCTCAAGATTTTGCATGCTTTTAAAGGGTGTCGTGACGAAAAAACGGTTGATTAACGCTGCTCTAGCAGATTGTCTGGGGCCCAGCTGCAGGGGGACCCAAGACTGCCATAATGAAATACCCAGTCGACAATAGCCTATGGAAAAGGTGGCTCTTTCAGATTTTAGAACTACGTACTGTATGCTGAAGTGCTAGTTCATGTTTTAGTAAGTGCTATTTGCATTAGTTCTAAACTCCCAGCATATACTATTCTGTTCTAACATCAGCATTGTAATAGGAATACATACTAGAGTTGCTTTTGATAATGTATTTTTAAAAATCCTTTTTTTATAATGAGTGCTGCCTTCCCTCTGCCCAACAAGGAGGCATGCTATGTGAGGCACAAAGTGCATTGTGGAAGTACATCCTATGGGCATCTTCAATAAGTAATGTAGATTGAAAGATTTTGTAATGATGTTACTATGAGAATCCTGCCCTATATTGTTACAATATCAACTGAATCTGTGCTTTTCACCTACAAATACAGTAATAATATAAGAGATAACAGTAGCAATATCACTGATAACTATATTAGCCTTACAAAGGTGGTCTAACTCCAACAATGAGCAGAACCTTCAGTGCTATCCTCTTGTGTAGGTTCCAGTGTTCCACCGCCACGGCTACTATTAATCCTCCCACAAACAGCATGTTGGTGTCCTTCAGGTACTGCATACACACCTAGCAAAACACCATCAATAAACTGTTACATCGCATTAAACACAAGAGACAGGAGACATGAACAATGGCAAAACGTGTCAGTGATGGGAACTTTCATTTAAAACAACTTTCCCAATATCTGCAGCTAAAGGTCAAAATAACAGAACAAGTGAATAGTTGATGTTATGATTCCTATTGCTGTGGACTTCCCTTTCACATCCTGAGATTTCACTTCATACCAAAAATCATTAGTAAATCTAATGCTGTACAGACAGTAAGATTTAGGCTGGTACATTCACATAAGATTCTACACTTTAGATGGATTTCAAAATGTTGTCTGTGTAACAGTTGGAACAAATGGATTAAAGTTAATGGAAAGAAATGTGGGTTTCCTCATCTGCAAACATTGCTACATAGCTTTCATCTGTTTAAAATGCACGTGATTTTATTAGTAAAGTAGAACTGAAGCCAAAACTTTTTTCTTAGTTTTGGATAGAGTAAGGGAGGGTTATAACTAGGTATGCAGCGATACCGGTTTTTCCGCTATCAAGTACCGATATTTTTTTTTTCAGTACTTGCAGACACCGAATACTGATACTGGAAGTCCCAATAAAGAAGGCGGGCAGTGTGTAATAACTCGCCGCCTGGCTTCCTGATTAGCCGGAAAGCTGGCCAGCGTGAAATGACTCGAGAAGCCGCCCTTATGTTCCCTTGTCAAAAGGTGATGAGGAAGCATGAAGCCAGCTTTCTGGCCAATCAGGAAGCCGGGGGCGGATCATTACCCGCCCCCTGTCTTCCTGATTGGCCGAGAAGCCAGCCAAATGCTCCCTGGTGATGAGGGAGCATGAAGCCAGCTTTGCGGCCAAACAGGAAGCCAGGCAGCTTGTAATGACTTGCCACCCGGCTTCCTAATACTGGAGGTTTCAGTAACATTTCTAAAATATGCCCCTTCTTAACCAATGACACAACCAAAACATTTATTCACTCACTTGTTGACTATTGCAATTCCCTTGGCTTTGGCCTACCTCTACACAGGCTATCCGCACTTCAGTCAATCATAAATGCTGCTCCACCTTAACAACTGCTCAGTGTCTGCCACCCCTCTCTGCCAATCCCTCCACTGGCTTCCAATCGCCCATAACATACAAAGCCATTTGCGTCTCCGCCCCGAGCTACATCGCCAACTTTATCTCACGACACCACACAAATCGTCTTTTTCGCTCCTCCTTGGACCTCCTGCTCTCTGGACCCCCTCAACATCACCTCTCATGTTCACCTCCAGGACTTCCAGGACTTCTCCAGAGCCTATCCTCTGTAACTCCCCATGCCAATCTATCCCGCTATCTCCTACTCTGCCTTTAGGGGATCCCTGAAAACTCTTCTATTTAGGGAAGGCTATCCCACCTGTACCTATCAACTAAACTTTTAACTTCTCCATTAACTCACTCCCTATAGTTGCTACCTTTGGTATCACTTGCACCTCCCTTTTACACTTTAAGCTCTCACGAGCAGGACCCTCCTAACCCCCTTGTCTTGGTTACTGTAACTGTACTGTCTTTCTTTATTTTGTAAAGCACTGTACAAACTGTTGGCACTAGATTAATCCTTTAAAATAATAATATTAAAATTATTGAAAATAATAACATTACGCCTCATAGATATGAAAATATGAGCACTGCTATGTTCATATCCATGGTAACCCTATAAATGGATAAACATAACAGTAGACGTCTGGGGGAAGCAAGAGTAACACATGTCTAATGTTACCTGTTTTGATTCTAGAATTCCAAACATTGGGAAGAGCAGAACTGGTAGCAAAGCTGTGATTGCAAGGGGGATAACCTCCGTACACCAGAAAACAGCCATGAGGATAATGGCATAGGCACAACTGGCTTCCTGAAAAAGACACACAAACAGAAAAACAAAGATGTCACGTCATATATATAATACACACATTGTTCTTTAGTGCAACTGATTTACTTGTTTTATCCATTTTTTTACTTCTGACACAAGTGGGTGAATATGGCTAAAATTATATATTATCTAATCCAAACTACTTTGCTCTTGTCTTAGTGGCTCAGAGACACTATCAATCAATTACAGTATTTACAAAGAATGTAATATAATCTACTTATTTTGGGTATTCGAGCTTGTGTAGCCTTTGTCATTTTAGCAGTTTATATAGGACGCAGCAAATGCAGAATACATCAATAGAGCAAATTCAGAATCTGGATCCAGTTACTTCATTTTTGGAACTTTCCCTAAGACAAGGTTACCACACTGACATCAATTCCCGTATTTCTGTTTTGAAACAAAATAAATACTATCAAGGTGACATCATATTTCTTATCTGCCAAGTAGGCAACTATGACCTCCAGTACAACTTCTAAATCTGCATGCACATTAATCGTTGATCTCAAATCTTACTAAAAGAAAAAGTGAACCTGTGTGCAAATATATAGTAGTAAGCTAAGATAGCCGATGGTAAAAGCTGTCTTTACATGCCTTTTGTATAACAGCTCAGTGATCTCCCCTCCACCGCAATATCAACACTTCCTCCATATTGGAGATTGGCCACTCCATAATCTCGGATTTGGTCAACTCCTCGGCAATTCCTCGGCATTTGAATTTGGACAACAGGCCAATTATGAAACAAATTTACTCAACTAAATTGTTAACAACCCATAAAGCTTTGAATAGGCTTTGAACCACAACCAACAGACTTAGAAGAGCCAGTAATGGAGGGAGTTGGATAATCCATCTCACACACTATAAAAAGGGGGGCTCAGAGAGGCTGGCAATTTTTTTACACACTTGTATCTGAGAGTTTGATAGAAAATAACCATCAGTGGGACAGTTTAAATGAGAAAAAACTGTCTGAAATGAGGAGGTATGAAGCATCGGCAAGCATTTTCCTACTAGAATTAAAAGCATTAGCCCTCAGATGATGCAGCTGTGAAAAAATTGGCCAGCTGCAAGACACTTTTGCATCAACGAGGACAACCTCAGTGAACTGCTGAAAAATTCTATCTGCTGGTCATCACAGGCCTAGTACTGCTTAGGGAAACGTGTCACTGCTAGTACTACATGAAAAAATGTCTCTTATTTTTCTTTAAGTTTAAACTAAAGGAATGCCCTACTTTTACCATGAAGAAAATTCAGGTTTCACATCTCAGATTAAAAAAAAATCACATGACATTTGGTACACTTCCCACTGTATAAAAAACAAGGCCCTACAAATAGCTAGAATTGACAATCAAGATTTTCCTCCCATAGGCTTCAATGTAATTCAGCACAAGTTTGAATTGCCTGAACATCAAACAGGATTCACCGAACGTCTGGGTTAAAACCTCTGTCCGTTCTTTTTATTCATAGCTGTATCCCTTCTAAAGAAACTGAAGCTCTCTTTTCTCTTTTTTCATTCTGGTAACTGAAAGCAACTGGAAATCCAGGAGGTTGATTTACTAAAGGCAGATAAGCTGTTCACTTTGGATAGGATTAGAAGTTAATTAATTTGAGAAACATTTTCTATTTTATTCTTATTTATTATATAGCGATGACAATTTACGCAGCGCTTTACACAGTGCACATTCACATCTGTCCCTGCCCTCAAGGAGTTTACAATCTTAAACTGGCCATACATTATAGATTATCTGCAGATTTTCTATGGTCAAATGGGAAAAGTGCAACAGATTCCTCCATCTACGCCAATCTGTGTGGATGGAGGAATCTCCCGCTGAGCCAAGCTTCAGTATCTTGCTGGTTGGCCCCGCTGGCTGTCAAAATACCTGAACAATCTAATTGGTTGCAGGTAATCCTTTGTCCTAATTCTCAGTCAATAATAGACACATTTTGTTTACCATAAAAGCAAACATCCTGTGAACAAAACAGATTAAATAAAGCACTCTAAATACATATTCTGAGTGTGAAAGTATTGTTGTGCAATAAAAACCAATGCTGTGACTAATGAAATTGATTTGAGATGGGTTTTCAAAACTATGTTTACAACTAAGTACAATTATGTACAAAAAAAGGAGGCTGTATTTGAGCTCTTTGAGGCCTCGTTCACAGTAGACACAGTGCGTTCTGGACCGAACGCACTGCGGCCGCCTCACTATGTTGTGGGGCAGGAGTGGGTGTGGCGGTCCATTGAAGTAAATTGCACCGTAGCCACGCCCTCCAGCCACAACGTGATCGGCAGCACGGGAACGCAAGGCACATCAATGCCTACAGTCCAGTCCGGTCCTAACAAAATGCTGCAAGCACTATTTTGTTCAGACCGGACCGCAGGCATATGATGCAGTGCGTTCCGGCCATAATCGGCAGTGGTTCTCAACTTGTGTAACCTCATGACCCACATTTGTCTTTGGTCATTAAGTTGCGACCCATTTTGCAGGGAACTGGAACGCATGGTATTGAGGTACAGACATTCTCACACTCTCACACACACCTACACACTCCAAAAATAAGTTTTTTTTTCTTTTTTTTAAAGATCTACCCAGTCTCTTCACCTTACGAGAACTGGAGTGGATCCTCAGCCTGGTGTCCAGTGTGGGCTGTTGTGCTGTGACAGAGCTCCATCCATATGTGCATTGCTTGTACAGCTCCCTTGCATGCCCTGTAGAGGAGCCAGAATGTGGCGTCACTCTGGTCCAGGCACCTTTACACATGACGGAGCTGTAAGCACTGCACATATGGATGGAGCTCCCTCGCGGCCATACCCCCAGCCCACCCCACCTCAAGCTGACACTCGGTGCCAGGCAGTATATTTTGACTGGCTGCTGCTAGGCACGAGAACTGACAGTGCTACTTTAGGGGCAGGCTGCAGAGTCTCTTACCTAGCACAGTGGAAGGCCTGAGGTGACCCACAGAACACGGGGTCGTGACCCACCAGTTGAGGACCACGGGTTAAGAGTAGAAATCTCATTGAGTTATAAGAAAGGCCACAGTTTGGGTTACAGGCCATAGTATACAGTCACCTAACATGAACCTGTACAACCCCTGCATGACAAATGCAGGAAAGGCACATAAAGGAATTTTGAGCTTGAATATGCTGAACTGTATGTAAAGCCAAAACCATTTTTCAGTTTTGAATAGAGTAGGGAATGATTATGATACTTTGTTGTCTGTATCCCATCAGGGAGATTTCTCTTTACTTCCTATCGCAGAGACACAGCAGGAAGTAAGAGGAGACCTCCCCGAAGCAAGGAGATATCCCCTCTTAGACTAGACTTACTTTACCAGAAAAGGTTTGCCCATTGGAAGATCTCACCTCCTGTTCTTTTGGCAACTCAAACATTTTGGATTTCCTGTCACTTTCTATACTGGAGACAATGATCACCTGGACAAAGAGAAAGGGTGGATCTCCCCAGTGGTGACACAGACAGCTATAAAAACCTGATAAAGGGTCTAACCCTTTCCCCACTATTTCAAAAACTTAAAACAAGTTTTGGTTTAACATACTCTAAACAGTTTGTATAGTATGTAAGCCAGGGGTGGAACTACCTGCGGTGCAGCTGGTGTGGCCGCCCCAGGGCCCAAGGCTGGGGGGCCCACTGACAGGGGAGGAGGCCGGGGCTGGGGTCCAGCACCGCTGGTCCAGCAGCAGAGGAGGCCGGCCCCAGCACTGCTGGTCTGGCGGCAGAGGAGGGCGGACCCAGCAGCGCCAAGTCTGGCAGTGAAGGAGGTCGGGCCTCAGCAGCGCTGGTCCAGTGGCAGAGGAGGCCAGCAGCGGCAGGTAAGGAGCAGGTGACCAGCCCACGTGAGACCCTGCAGAGGCCACCATAGAGAGTCTCCGTGGGCTGTGCAGGATCTATGGTGGGCTACGTGGGGTCTCAGGTAGGCTGGTCAGGGTCTCAGGTGGGCTCTGCAGTATCTCCGGTGGGCTCTTCGAGGCCTCAGGTGGGTCCAGAGTCCAGTGTGTTGCTATGTCCAGAGTCCAGTGCATTGTTATATCCAGAGTCCAGTGTGTTGCTATGTCCAGAGTCCAGTATATTGCTATACAGTGCGTTGCTAAGTCCAGAGTCCAGTGCGGGGTTAAGTCCAGAGTCCTGTACGTTGCTAAGTCCAGAATCCAATTAATTTACTGTTCTGCATTGCTGTATAATGTATTGCTGGGATTTGTAGTCCCCCTACAGCCAGTGCCATTCTGCATTAGAGTGCAAGCTCCTCTGTACAGAAAGTAATGTGACTTGCTCAGTGTTCTGAGCACTGTGGTATATGCCAGAGCTATATAAATGTATAATAAGAGTGTAAGCTGGTGCAGAGACCGCCAGGTGGATTGGGGGGCCAGTGAGATCAGCACCCGCCCCCCTTGGTAGGGGGGGGGGTCTCCCAAGATAAAATCTTGCAACAGGGCCCTTTATTCCTTAGGTCCGCCACTGACGTAAGTCATCTAGCCTCTATTTGGATGATCTTGAAAATTACTGATTCCTGGGCAAGTAGCAAGTGAAGATTTCCAGCACTCGCAGAATAACGTTAAATTTTAGTGATTTACTGAAGAAAAACGTCACATGTATTAATCAGCCAACGGCTCTCTTCCTCGGGGCAACATAGTGACAACATAAAGTGACATTTTTCTTCAATAAATCACTAAGATTGAACGTTATTCTGCGAGTGTTGGTGATTTTCACTTTCTACATGCTTGATGTGCATGGCTATCTGTGGCTATCACTACGAGCACCACTGTTACTAAAGGTCATGACCGCTGTAAGGAGTGCAGAGACACATCTGAACACTTTGTAGTTCCTGGGCAAATCATGGTTTATTATGATCGAAGAGGATATCCTCCTGGATCATTGCCTATTCTAAAAAGGAAACTATTGCAGCTTCAGTAATGTTTATTACATGACATGAGATGGTTTGAAGGGAAACCTTGGAAAGAAAGTTACATCAGA